AACTTGGTTTTGTACACAATTTGCAAGTCTTGGTTAGAAGTGGTAAAATCCAGAGAAAATTTTTGAAATCTCTGCACTTTTCGAGCATATTGTTTCTCCATCTTGTGTCTCCTAAAAATTCCCAGTTGGATTGACTCTCTTGGTTTCAGGAAATTTGTATGAACTTCTCATGAAGCTATGCAGAGTTGGTGCCGGTGCCGCTAAAATCATTCAGGCATTATTTTTATCCTATAACTCATTAACTCAAAGAAGGTATTCCAACATTTGAAACTTTGGCATCATGCACAATATTTGTTTTTAATAAAATAAATTTTGGAGGCATTTGATTTTATACCCCTGTGATCTTTGTGGTTGTTTTCATTCAGTAGAACTTATGATATGGGAGTTGTTCCAGTTTCACTCAATCCGCTGGAATAAGTGTGTCATCATGATGCTCATGAGTCACAAAATATTACCTGCGTGAAAGCATTAAACAAGGAATGAGATGCAATCCTTTCTTGTGTGAAGCAATACTTGCAAGGCGGATTACTGCCAGACCTGTCAGACATTGGCACAGGCTCCATACAGTGAATGACAACTTGTTCCAGCTCGCGTTACTGATCGTCAAGTGAAAGGGGAAAGCCCTTCAATGGGAGGAAGAGCAGCAAAGCCACCCCTGAAGAGTGCAGAGGAGTTCGTTGCACAGAGGGGGGGGGGGGAAGAGACAGGCGCGGACAGGTGGTGGCATCCGGTGCTTCACATGGGACTCACTGATGCATTCCCACAACAAGGGGACACCCAACAGGACTGAAACAGGGTAGGCAAAAACAGCAGAGCAATATACCGGGCGGAAGCGGTGCAAATGAACAGATGAGATGACGGGTGGGAAAAGTGCACGCGCGCACCAGCGTGCGTGCGTGCGTACATACTGTATACACTACTGTACTGTATGTGGAAGGGTGTGTGTGTGATGTGCGTGTGTTGGCAACCCTGTTCCTTTTTGTGAGAGCGAGAAGACTCGTTACGACTCCACAGTCCACACACACTGGAGCTGTTCCTCCTCCCGGCGAGCCAGTCAATCGTTGGCAGTTGGAGTCGGAGGAAGTCGAGAAATGCACGCGAATGAAGTTCAAGAACTCCCTCGGCTATTTGTTGTGTGCGATTGCATTTTTTGTGCGTTTCCTCGGTCGCGCGCCTTTTCTTTTGCTTCGCGGACCGTGGTTCGTATTCTATAGAAAATCGTTCTAAATTCCGCAATGCTTTGCCTTCACCCCCAGTGATTTGACGTGCGATTACCGTATCATTTATACAGTATTTGAATATGACACACGATTTTCCCGGTGTCAGACATTTCGCAGCGTTTAAGCTTGAATTCTAGCGAACTGATCCTCTTTATACCAGCTTTTAAATGAAGTACGAAAGGCTACGATATATATAATCTCGTTCAATTTTTATTTGCTTCTGACGAAGGCAGCATGAATAAATTTGAACTTGCACATGAGATTTCCAGGGAAGAATTAATCTCCCTAGTCTCACTCCGCAATTTTGCGAGCATTCCATGGGAGTGACTGAAAAAATCCTAGCTCTGAAATGAAAAGCTTAGTCTTGGGACTATCTCGTGAAAACTTTTTCTGTGATTCAGAATCCGAAGGAAGAAATTGAGAATACTGTACTCTCGAGCATTCCATGGGAGTGACTGAAAAAATCCTAGCTCTGAAATGGAAAGCTTAGTCTTGGGACTATCTCGTGAAAACTTTTTCTGTGATTCAGAATCCGAAGGAAAAAATTGAGAATACTGTACTCCAAGATTTGTGAACAAAGCTTGTATTTTTCCAGCACGGAAAATTATCGCAAGTCCCGTAATCGATGGCGTCGAATAGTGTTCTGTAATTCGAGATCATTGTCGAAGTTTTTTCTCTCCAGTGAAAAAATTCCTTCACCATTCTGCCTTTGTTCACTATATTTCTGGGGTTCGCGTGTCCTCGGATAGACTGTCGAGTTAGAATTGGTAATCTTGAAACGATTTGATCAGCTAACAACGCCTTAATTGATCTAGCGTGGTGATACTTGGCTTGAGTAGTGGTTCTCAATCATAAAAATCTGACTGCCGTGCCAGTGTAGACGAGCCTGGTTTTGTTGGCTTATTTGCTGCAGTAATTGGGTAAAATTTCTGGTGATTAATGCCCCTGGAAATCGATAAACCTGGCACTGACCCACGTCAAGGTACTGAATTATTTTTTGATTAGTAATGGTTTTTCAGTGCATATTACAGTACAGTATATCATTAGCGTGTACGGACAATCCTGTAAGGTTTTGTGACTTATTTATTCACGTTAGATTCTTTCCTGCCGATGAAGTGCAGTACTGTAATCTGCTGGTCGTATGTACAGGTTAAAATATGTCGCAATTCCAAAACTTGGTTGAGATTTTAATTTACCTCTTCTAATACGTTTTAATCAACAAAACGCTTAACATTTTATATATAGACATTAATACACACCAAATGTTAAAACGTCATACGAAAGAGCCGAAGATGCCTAAAATCATGACATGTTCGCATCATTTTTTGACGTGTCGGTGAGTGAATTTCAGTTGCTAAACATTTTGGGCTGCTGGTCCCAGTACTGTATCGTTCTATCGAAATTTTTTTGCCATTTCAATAAATTGTTTACTGTATTATCCGCAATTTTCCATCCACTTCTTACGTCAGACAGGAAGAATTAATGGAAATTTCAAGGTGTAAGCGGTCTAAATTCCGTTAAAACTCTTATCCCTCATAAAATTGAAGAAAAAGCGAGACTTTACCTGTTTCTCGATTCAGATCTCTTCATACCACATTCTGTAAATACGTTCCGAAAAGCTTATAAAAAACGCTGTTTTTATGAACAATAAATAAATGACTGCGGTCTCGTTTAACGGGCTCGAAGATAAAACAGAAAAAAGTTTCATATCTCACCGGTGAACTCGTGAGCAGTACTTGGTGGTTTTTATGAGCTGTGCGACGATTTTTATTCCTTGTTCAATTTGTGTTGAGATCATATCGGGTGTTCATTATGCCTACGTAAAAAATGAAATTTTTGTGCCTGTGTAACCGCGCGAAAAATCGGGTATTTCCATGTGATCGCTCCCTTGTTGACGTTCGCGCCCGCGCAAGAAATTCAAAAGTTTGTTCGACACGCGAAAAAGCAATTGAGGAAGAAGCATCTGCGCGCATATGTGATCATTCTTACTCTTTCGAGGTATGGAAATCTTTGCTGTCGTTTACTGAAGGAATTAAAAATTGATATGATCCTATAGTGTTCCAAGTGCTTTTTGACTTCGAGTGGGTCTACGAGTATTAAAAACACAATGCGAGAATATGGATGCAGCTTTTTGAAAAACTTTCCTCGATTTAAGCTTCTTACCAGATTATCTCGAAAGTCTTCGAAGAATCACTTGTACTTAACAACTTCAATGCCTTTCAGATCACATTTCTTAGATTATCTGCATTAGCTAGTTTATGGAATGGTCCAAGTGGGTGTCTACGGTATGTGTTAATGTGTAGGATTTTCTTGATAACTCGGATGTTAATGATGTTAATTTACAGCCATCTTTTGTTGAATTCGAGGGTTCCTGTAGAAGCGAGTCTGGTGTTCTCCTTATTGGAGTCCATATTGGATAATTGAAGATGGACGGAATTGTTTACCGAGTACCATATTTTCCTGAAATTTGAGGCTAATAATATGGTTGAAATTGAAGAAGAACGGAGAATCCACCGCATCTATTGAAGGAAATATTTTATTTCAAATCTCGCCGGATCAAGGGATTTTAAAGTCGCGGCGATGCTACTGCAAAGCTTCGAAAATTACAGTAATTTATGATATCGTTTCATTGACTATATAGCTGATTTCGAAATTGTGTTCAGAAAAAGCTTCCTGATGCTGATCTCAGTCAACCGGCGAGGATTAAGATTTCTGAGTCGGAGGTGTACACGAAGAAAATTCGATAACTATGGACAAACCCTCGGTTCGAAACTTGCTCTTTCAATTATATTCTGAGTCTTCAACATGCATCCGAAAAACTTCGATTTCGTGTCAGTGAACCATTGCTCAACTCTTCCTCATAGTAGAGTAAATAATGTATTGTACAATTACAATTTTATTGCACATCTTCATTCGTTTTCAATTATAAACCCTTTGGTAAATTTCTGCCGGAGCAGTGCTTATGTATAATTTTTTTATCATACCGAACTTATCGTGGAGCGAGAGTAACATGAAACGAGGATTTTGATGATTTAGTTGAATTTCCGGAAATCGAATGATAAATCCACTTTCAAAAAGTAGGGAATCGTTTAATCAGATGTCAATAGAATGTGTTGGATGCAAATAAACTGACCTCCATTAAATTTCGCTATTTGAAATGCTGTACTGTACAGTATTCTGTTAACATCGACGACTGATCGGACTTTTATTTGTTCAGAGGTAAAATGAACCTCGCTGTAAATTTACTTTCCAACTTTTATTTACTCCGGCGGTTGACTGACGAGTGTTTATCTTCTGATCACCCGGAAAGTACCGTACGCACGAGTACCAGGTCTTCGACTATCTGACGCAACGAGTTTTGTGCATTTTTTCCGAACCGCCGAGTGCTTTTGAGTTCATTTTTGCCAGAAAGAAAAGCCAAGTGAAAGCGACCGAGAAATCCCAGACTTATGCAAATTCACGCGAACGTAAACGTACAGGAGACTGCTGTAATGGTTCGGTCGAGCGCTTAAACGTTCCCGTTAAATTTCCGTGACAGCAAGCTTTGTTTCGTGTATTCGTTCGCTTGTTTATTTTCAGCTTTTTGGTTTGAAATGAACAGCAGTTGTATAGAGCAACCCCTGCTGCTGTAACTTTCTTTGTGACCGAGTAGAGAAATATTTTTTGGAACTATGAAAAGTGTTCGAAAGCCGTGGCTTAACTCGTTCAACTGTGAACGACGGATTTTTACTGATGACTTTTCCCTTGTAAAAAGTCGCTTGTTGTCCGACTTTTGCTTTCATGACATCAATAACTTTAAAGAAAGGAGTAGCGGACTTCCACACGAAAACCTCTCAGGTAAGTTTAGCCTTTGTTAAGGGAGCATCAGCGCTGAGAAGTCGTTGTGTGAAGATTTTTGTCCAAGAAGGTTTTATTTAAAATGTGTTTATATTTCTTTTTTTGACGCAGGTTCGAAATCGAGTTCTTATCCCGTGCCTAATTCAACGTGTTGCTTGATAGTTATTATAGAAAAGGTGTGCGTGCGCATTACAGTACTTCCACCAAGTGCTTGGCCATTATTTTCGCAACAAGAGCAAAAAATGACGCCTTCTCAAAACCGGTCGACGTGAGAAACGCTGAAAAGAAGGGACGAACTTGTGAAGTGAACGTGTGTATAGTGAACTTGTGTGTGTGTGTGTGTGTGTGTCAGGAACAAATCAAGTGCCCTGGAGTCGAGTTGAAAATATAAAAAACCCCCTCCGAAAATGATGAAAACAGACGTGATGTGGAAACACGACGGCGGAGCGGACGAGTATGCGGCTGCTCTCAAATGCTGCGAAGACACGCTGAGCAGTTTGGAGCCGTCGTTCTGCTCCGATGGCAGCGACTCGGGCGAATTCACGCCCCGTGTGCCCATCAAAACTTACGGCCCCAACGTGGAGGTATTTCGTGTTACGTTACTTACTTAGTCGAGGGCATTCTGGAAGTTTTAGTAATTTTTTTAAGGGGGTAATTTTAGGGAATTTTGGGTTGAAATTCGGTGCAGTCCCGAGATAACAAATTTTTAGGGATTTTAGGCATAGATCCCATGATATATGCAAAATACTGTAATTCTCTCAATTCTTCTCTTTTCGAAATCTTCTTTATATTTTTCTCTCTCCAACTTGTTCTTGCAGCAAGGCTTTTGTCAGAAAGTGATGGATTTCATTGCAGATTTGAGACATTTCGTGTAAGGGGGTCTTTTTATGTTCCCTTACATGAAAATTCCTTCTCAATCGAAAACTTAATAAGCCCTACTAAAAAAGGTTGGTAAAGTAATTAAAAAATATTGGTACTACCTGTAAAAGCTTTTAGAAGCTTAAAATTATTCTACAAGGGAATTTTTGTTTATAAGCACGAAGTTAAACAACTGAAGCACAAGGGTGAAAAATCGCCCTTAAAACGTGCGTACTATTGAATGCACGTAGTACGGGGTGTTCGTAGTGCGAGAATTCTTCTGAATTCTTCTCTTTTCATTCCAGTGGTATCCGAAGTTATCCACGATTAACGCCAATTCTTTTCCTTGAAAAAATACTGTCTACCTTTGAATTTTTTCGAGGGTACTCTGAATATTTACACGTCATCCAAAATCTACGCGTTATATTGATTTCCCCTTTGTTCATCTTATTTTGAGAGCTTCGCTCGCTTTTTTCTCACCGGAAGATTACAAATAGGGCTGTTGTAAAAACGTGCCTTATTTACGTAACAGAAGGGAAATTAAAAGATCTGTAGAAAATTGAATCTCCGGTTATTGATTGTATGTATGTGTCTGATCAAAATTTTAACAGTCATACAATGGTTATGTTGGGCTATAAATAATACCGTAATTCTTCCTGTGATCATGATTTCTGAGAAAGCTTTAAAAAAGTTTTTTATGAATTCGTCGTAACATTTGGACAGCTTGTGTTGTACTGTATTTTCACGCTGGGGTTGCTTTTCATTGATGATCGCATGAAACCAATTTGAAATGTCCGTGCTCTTAATAAAAGCCATTTAGAAGTCGGTTAAATGGAATAGTATACCTGTATGAGGACTTTTGAAAATATCCGCAGCTCTGTAATTATTCTTGGACATGCCTTTGCCGCATATTTGGAATCCAAGGGCGGTCTTGTTTTCCTCCGAAAAATGCCCCTCCCTCCATTTTCCTGAATTATTCGGGATGATTTTTTCCAACCATTTCATTAATTTTTTATAACCATGATGGACATTTTCGAAAATCTTCGAATTTTAATAAGATGTTCCCTTAAAAACAAATATTCGTGCTTCAATTTGTTTTGAAGCACAAGGGTGAAAAATCGCCCAGAAAACATACGTACTACAGTATTGAAATTGAATGTACGTAGTAAGGGGTATTCGTAGTGCGAGAATTCTTCTGAATTTTTCTCTTTTCATTCCAGGGTATTCCGAAGTTATCCACGATTAACGCCAATTCTTTTCCTTGAAAAAATACTGTCTATTTTTTATTTTTTTAGGGTACTGTGAATATTTACACGTCATCAAAAATCTACGAGTAATATTGATTTCTCCTAAGTTCATCTTATTTTGAGAGCTTCGTTCACTTTTTTCTCACCGGAAGATTGCACACTGGGCTGTTGTAAAAACGTGCCTTATTTAGTTATTTACGTAACAGAAGGCAAATTAAGAGATCTGTAGAAAATGAAATCTCCGGTTATTGATTGTATGTATGTGTCTGATCAAAATTTCAACAGACATACAATGGTTATGTTGGGCTATAAATAATACCGTAATTCTTCCTGTGATCATGATTTCTGAGAAAGCTTAAAAAAAGTTTTTTTTATGAATTCGTCGTAACATTTGGACAGCTTGTGTTGTACTGTATTTTCACGCTGGGGTTGCTTTTCATTGATGATCGCATGAAACGAATTTGATATGCCCGTGCTCTCAATAAAAGCCATTTAGAAGTCGGTTACATGGAATAGTATACAGATGGACATACTCCTGAAAACTTTTATAGGCGTCGAGACATTAATAAGAACCTGTACGGAAACGGCGTATAAACCTTAGGTTCCCGCCAGAACAAAAGGAGGCTTTTTACGGGGAGGGAGGTAAAAGGCTGTCAGACCTCAATAGTAAGGGTGGATTTCGACGTGTTACCAGTTGTAAAACTGGCATTTAATGTTAAACTTGCAAAACAAGTCTAAAGTCAAAGAGCTTTTCTTTTCTTAACTTATGTTTAAACAAAGTTTACACGCGCACAAGGGTACACACGCACTAAGATGCATCCTGTCGGGTTCCATGGATGCATTTTGGAGAAAAAGGCCGTGATTTTACCATGGTGCAGGTTATTTTGTCGCATTCCATCCATTTTGAGAACGAACGATTCTTCACGCCTACCTCTACTAATAAAATATTGAGTCTGACATCAGAGGAAAAATTGCTTTTTATGGCTTGCCTCTATTAAAGGAATGGATTAGTGCAAGAGTCAGTTATGTAATTCAATACAGCACAGTACAGTACAGTATAATATAATAATATCGAGAAAATCTCCACGTTTCCATTCAAATACCGATGATGATATCTAAAGTTCGTAGAATGGCGTGGCAAGTTAGACCGAATCTTCATATTTCTTGGAATTGCGCGTACCTTGATTTTGTTGTCGCTTGTTCGAGACGAAAGATGTTCGCGTGAATTTGTTACTCACTAGCCTCAGATGTTAAATAGAAGAGGAACACGTTTGCAATTTTTTTTTTCGTTTATCCCCAGGCCTTTTGACGCGTACTTTAACGGAAAATCACCATTGTTGATGCTGTAGAACTGCGTATTCCTATAAGTTAATTATTCACCCCCTCCCGCTTCAATTGTGAAGAACATTCTTTCCGATACTGGAATTGGTATAGCATTTCCGCGAAATTTGAGACTTGATCACGGAAAAATACTGTATATTCAGGTGAAAAGATAGATAATATTTATAACGGGGACTGAAACGTCGGTACAGTACCGGTACGAGTATTTCGCTGATGGAAAATGTTGCCTTGCAATCTTTTACTGAGATTAGCGACAACCGGATGTAATCTTGAGATTAACGCAAGAAATAATATTTGCCAGCTACTGCGTTCTTGCGTCAATTGTGACAAGGTTTCCTTTTGTGAGCACTGAGCATCGCACTTTTCCGAAGACATCAGAGTTATTTTTGAGGGGTCGGAATTATATTTCAGTTGGTGTACGAAAGTAGGTCTTAAGCAGTTACTTAATTATACGATGGTCACATTTAATTTTGGAAGAAACGGGATAATCTCTTCAATAGACAGCTTATAGAGAGTATTTCAGAAAATTTATAATGTTCCAATCGTTTCAATGGAGATGCTGTTGTACAACCACCTTCGAATAAATCCTCCATCCGTAAACGCTTTGGTAGTTTGGTGGTTGAAACTTTTTTTAAACCTGGAAAAAATGTCTTGACCCAGCTCGACTTTTCGATGTGTTTGCTGTACTTCCCATGAAAGAACCCAATCCTGGAGTACCCCATAAAATATACTTTTGGCGATAGTTTGAATTTAATCATTTCCATGAGCTGGAAAAGAATCCATAAAAAATAATGAGTCTTGAAAGAGCATTCATTTGATCTCGAAATCATTATGACGTCGTGTATTCGTAACACATAAGCAGTAAGTTAAGTTTCACGAACATTTTCGGCTCTTTTTTCCTCGTATTTCCGACTCACGATTCTTTCATGGAAGTAGCATGCATCAGTAGAATCTCGTTACAAAGAATCTCATTTTATCGAAATAGTGCTTACAAAGAATTTGTTCGTTTTTAAATTTTGTTTTGCCGAGTCCTTGATTATAACGGAAGTTTTTTAAAGGTCCCAAACGCTTTCGTTTTAACGAGATTCATCTGTATTTTCGACTTCAAAAAGGAGTTTTTAATTTTTTAATTCATTTTTTGAAGCAGCTCAACTAGATGAATGCGATCTCATTCGCTTCTCCCTGGATTCCTACTAGAATTCCTCAAGTTTCCATCAATCTGTGAGCTTGGATTAATATTGCATACCGTAGAAATTCCGAGCAGTCAACGGAGGAGCTATGATCGAACCGCACTGTGCATTCCCCCCCCCCCGTATACTCCCGACAATCGTTGCCTCGAGTTGAATGATATTTTTTTGTTCTTAAATTCCCTTTCTTGTGTTATTTTCCCCACCCGACACCAGGTGTACATCAGCCGGAGCCTGAAGCCGGCTGGTGCTGGTTCAGCGCTGACTTCCACGCCGATCGACGGCGGGAATGCAGGTCGTGCTGGGTCACCGGCACGTGGCGTGCACTTTTCGCCGGTCGTGTCAGAAGTGAACTGGCGTGAGAGCTATGTTGAACCCGACGGCGGCGACAAAGTGGCCGCCGCAAACACCAACAACACCACCGCCGCCAAGTCGGCGAGTTCTTCTTCTTCATCCACCGCGGGCATTGGGCGCCGGTCTCGCAAGATTTCCGCAGAGGACTCTGCTGATCTGCCGCAAAGAGTTAAGGTATGTATGAACTCTCTGAGGATCAATCTCTTTTTTTTTATTTTTATCCCCAAGTATGATCGAATGGAAATGAGGAAGAAAATGCATGTTTTTTTAATTTGAAGTTTATTATGCGCATATTTATATAGCCAATGATGATGTAATTATTATGCGCATATTATGTAGCCAATGATGATGTAAGGTTCTGGGATTTTGTTCTGGTATAAAAAATATCGATTTATTGCCCAATGATAAGTGAAAACTTTCCAGTTTCGGCTGGAGTTCTCATCAACCCCATATCACAGGGCGTTATAATTCGTAAGCCCAGCTAAACTTTTAAATTATTTTGTTTAAATATTATCTAACATGTGGAAAAGATAATACAAACAGACAAATTTCAGTTTTTAGCTGGCCTGGAAAATTTTGGCACCCTGTTGGATGGGTGGAGAATCATGCAATAAATGGAAAAATATAGAAAAAAATCCCCGAACCCAACATCATCATAGGTGATAACATTATTATTTTTTTACAGTCATAACAACTGTAGAAATAGGTAATTCCCTTGTGCGTAAAGGAAACCTCCAAACTTTACCAATGAATATTTAAAATGATGAAGATTTTATGCAGGCACAACTTATACTGTATATAAAATGCATTGAAGTGCTGCATCACGTTTTGAAAATGGAGAATGAACCAGTTGAGATGCTAACATGCTGTTGCAAAATTAAGGATCACTTCCACGATTGCATATAACTCATTATTTAAATATATTATTTACCCCGAGATTTCTCATATCTTAAGACGGTAGCCCACCACGAGAAAATCCGCCTACACAATCACAGTACATAAGTTTTAAAATTTGTAACTTCACGACTTCGTTCGTCCGTTCGTACTGGACTCCTCAGTTGCTGTTAATTGAATGGTCCAAGTCGTTCAGTTTTCCCAGTGCTCAAGTCTCCCCATTGTTCCAAACTAATGAAGTCTTCATTTAGAAAACCAAAATGCCCACTGGTAACGACTCTAACAATGCTTCGCCGTAATTGTTCCCTGAAAGGGTGCATTTTTGCGCAAGAATCAATTTTTTTTAATGCTTATCACGGCACAATATTACAAAGGCTGAATTCCCCCTCGGTTGATCCCTTTTCTTTTTGAGACGAAAATACAGTTTACTGCGCTTGTTACAATCTGGCAAGACCGAGCATAGATAAGATCATGTGCCGGCGTGCTTCGTTATATTTCCTGTCAGCATAATCAGAATACGCTGTGGGAACGTTTCCCATGGTATCCTATGCGGATTGACCTTTTCCTAAATTAGCCGATTTCAAGATTACGGTTTACGCACTTTTACGATGAAGTTTGCTTTTCAGATCGTGTGTTTATTTTTGAAACGTAGCGCGAGCTAACGAGTAACTGCTGAGGCGTGGTTCTTCCAGAAAAAAAAAGATTAAAAAAGCATAACATTTTTAGTCTTTCGATATTTTATTGTGGGCTGACGTTTGGGATTGAAATACAGTATTTCTTCATTGATAAAAATTCTTCGAATAAGAAATCGATGAAGGCTGAAAAGTTGCCCAACCGCCGGGAAGACGAAAAAGTCGGTGGTCAACAATTCTTCATAACAGTATAGGTTTTAATTTTTTTCAACATGGGATTGTCGTTCAATTTCTTCGTGATGACGATAACCGAAGCTCTTGCATTTCTTTCACAATTGCCTGTAAAGTGAAGCTCACCACCTGAGAATTTAATCACGTTGGATTCTGGTTCTAAATACTTTACCGTTTGAGCCATATCGAGGATTCGGTTCTGAAAAAAACAACTTTTAAACATTTGTCAATTCTTTCAAATTGGGCGATTTAAGTCGTTCGTAACCACTGTCCTTTACCAACGTTTATTTTACCCCTATATCATCACTGCTTGGTCATACGTCAGTTATTTCTTCAATTTGAAATGATCCCAGCCAAATTCACCTGACGATGGCTAATTTTATACGTATCTAAAGGGATTTACAGTAGAATATGCTGGTGAATTCCAGGAGGTTCTGCGATAAGCATAATCACAGTTTTTATAAAATTTTGAAGACATTAATCTGAAGGCAGTCTACTGTAACCGGGAAGATTTCTACCGAGAGTATAGTGTTTATTTTCCTGGGAAACACTTCTTTCAAATCAAATTTTCTTCGATTCTATAGTAGTGAAGAGTTTTCAGCTGTCAAGATGGATGTAATATCTACCATAAGTTTACATGAAAAAGTATCATCAAAAGATAACGAAGAAGTTGTTCAAAACGTGAGAAGTATCATAGTGGTCCGAATCTTATTAAACCATGTCTGAATTTTTTAACATCTATACAGTAATTCATTAAGGATTTAAATTATCTGGGTTATTGACTAGGTCATATACCGGGATCATCAAATGTGACGTATTATTGAACACGATATTCAGAAAATACGCCTCAACGAGTGAAACAATTCTTGTTTCAACATCGAACTCATCCAGTTTTCATCAGCATTCCCTAAGAGCATTAGTCCAGATAATTATTAGTTAGAAATAATGCCCATCGATTTAATAGTTATGTATACTGTATAGTCAGCCATGTTTATTTTCTGTGCATAAAATGCTGTACGTTCCACAAGGATGTTTTGTTCCTCATTCGAAATGTCTGAGGCTTGAACAGTTTTCGTTTGCTCATAAAACGACCGTCTGGTATTTTCTTTGGTATGTCCGTAGACATTTTTAGAAAAATATACACAAAAAAAGAACGCTGTCGGTATTGCAAAAGCCCGCAATAAATAATACAGTACTTTCTTTCTTTCTCTCTCTCCATTTTTCTTCTTCATCCGCGCCCAGGTTACTACAACGGAAGGGAACAAGTTGTCGGTGCAGAAAATCCAGGTCACGTCAGTAGCGCCGACCTCGGAATCCGTCTCAATCTTTGTGGCAACCCTTCCCCCGCCGGAAAGGCAGCAACAGCAGCAGCACGAGGAACCCAGTGCTTCTCCGCTGCCGCCGTCAGTCATGAACGGCAACAAGTCCGCCACTCTGCCCGCAAAACTCAAGCCCGTGAAGCCGCCGAAGCCCGACGATGCTTCGACGCACGTGTCGATCTGGAAGCGTCTCGGTATAGGGCGACTGAGTTTCGGCAAAAGCGGCAAGTCGTCCAAACAACAACATCAACAGCAACAACAGCCGTCACCGCCGCCGCCGAACAAGGTCGCAACTAAGGAAGTGATCCAACCCGAACCTGTTCCGATACACGCGACGCCGACCAAATCCACATCTCAGGAAATGCCGGAACCGACTAGTACTGAAAGGAACGAGTCCTTGTCAGAGTCGCCTGGAAAGAAGGATGTTTTAGCTACATCTGAATCACCATCACCATCGCCGCCACAGCAGCAGCAGAACAAATCAGACGCCTTGCCTCCACGGCCGCCGAATCAAGCGTCCAAGCATTTGAGTCCCGTTGCTCGCGCGAGGCTCATTTCGGCTCGCAAGCATTTCCTGGCTACTCAAGGCGCTGCTCAGAAGCCGCCTTCCACTTCTTCGGGTCCTTTGACTGCCGAAGAAGCTGCGAAAAGCAGTGAGAATCTGCGTGTGGCCTTTGAACGATTCCGGCAAAAGGCGGAAGAAGACAGACGCCGTTTGGCGCAGAGCGTTCCGGATTTGCAAGAAGTTGAGTCGAGTGTTCGCAGTGCGATTGAACTGAAGCATAGACAAGACGCGTTGTTGGACGAAGAGGCGCCAGCGAAGGAAGAGCGGAAGACTGTGTCGGCGGCGATGACGGCGAGGAAGAATGACATGATGCGATCATCCCAGGAATTTGATGACAGGTGGAGGGAGATTCTGGCCAAATCTGAGATCAAGAAGTACGGTGACAGGCTACAGCGAGCATCACAAGCCAGGTATGGCATTTTTTTTTTTACCGTGCTTTGTCTATTAATTTATTCAAGAAAAACAGAAAAAAAAACAAAAAAATATAATCATTTGACCTATTTAATGCGAAGGTTACTTCATATATGTTTTGTCTGTCTCGTGCTTCCCTCATTGTAGTTTTGGTTGGGTGCAGATGGTCATGCATTTGACGGAGTAATCTTAGAATCGCTCCTTGACCTATGGTCAAGATTTTGTTTCCCCCCAGGTTGAAATGAAGAGAGGGCAAAGTTGAAATATTAATTTATCTCTTGAGATTTAGTTACGGTTCACTTGCCACAACGACATGTTTTCCGGCTGCATGAATTGCATTTAATATTTTAAATTTTGTTCGTTGAAAAATCTCAACGAGGCCGTTCTCTTACATCCGACAACCGCATTTCAATTTTAAAATTTGTTTTCCCTGACAGTGTCAGTCGTGTTAGGATGGTAAAACGTGAAGGATGTCATACACTACAGTGACGAATTTCTAGCATAGTGACGCCCGAGTCCGGTCTTTAATGTTTTTCTTTCAAAATTCAATTTTTCCGAAAACATTTGAACCATAGCGTGTACTTCAAAAAAGTTCTGAAGCTCGCTACAGAAAAAAAGGGCCACTTGAAATAAATCCAAATTTATTTCTCAGTTTCTCTCGCTATAAGGGGCTACACGCGATTTTCGGAATCCCCGGGTTGTAAGCCGAGATGTGGAAAAAGTGGGGAACGGTTCAATTTAAAGAGCTTTCTCAACAATTCAAATGCGCAGTTGTATTTTTCAAGTCCGACAACTTTTTAGGGCTTTTAAAGAATGGAAGAATTATTCGGAAAAATGTTGGACACTAACTTCAACCCGGGTCATACAACTCGCTACAGCTCATTCAACTCCGACGAAGTGGATTTCCATTGTTTTCAAATAAAATATTCTCCTTGTGAATGAGCTACAAAGGACAATAAGCAGAAATGGCAATTTTTTCACTGATTTTTTTTTCTATCGTGTACTCCCTTCCTTACGTTGAATTGAAGCTTCAGTTGAAGGGATTTCTGTTTCTGAAACAAAAAATGACAGCGTAGTGGGTGGAAAATGTTTCAATTCAATAAGTTGATTTATCACGAAGTAATGTTATTTTAAGGGATTTATTATATCCTGCAAAACTTCTCTTTGCTAAACGTTTCACATTTCGTGCTGAGATTCGATCACGTTAATTGACTGAATTTTGAAAAGAATTGGATTCTTTACTCCGGTGTAAATCGTTCAATCTTTTTCGGTTATTCATTTTCTCAACAGGTGGATGAAGACTTCGTTGAAATCCCAAATTTTCCCGGAAATTCGAGGGTTGTCCCATTTGTGATTTACCTTGGGTATTCATAGGCTAGGTACCACTTTGAATAAATGTACCATTTAGCTCATCCAAATTTAATGTTCTGGGATTTTTTCAGATTTTTTTACATTTTTTAGATTTACTGCAAGACGGTAAGTGAAAACTTTCCAGTTTTGGCATTTTCCATCCATGTCACAAGCTTTGAAAATTTTTTCATTATAGACAAAAATTGAAAATATGTCTTCGTTTTTAGAACAATATTTCCTACATTTTCTGTAATTTTCAAAATTTTTCAATGATTATTTTGTTTTGCCACAAATAAAAAACTAAGTCCATTTTGGATTTTTCCAAAAGCACTTTTAATTTCTAATTATTTTTTCTTTTCTCTTCGAAAATAGCATCCAAAGCCTACTTTCTACTTGTGATATGTTTCTTTTTTTTACCTTGAGTTTTTAGGAGACTTCTGTTTATTTTTTTATTTTCTTGCCTTAATGTCTAAAGGCAGCGTTAGATGCTGTCCATGTATTTTTGCTGGAGTTGTCTCTTTGTGGTACAGGGTTCATCCCGGATTCCCAATGATTCCCATAATTTTTATTCCAGGAAAAAATTACTTCAATTCTGAATCCTGAATTCCTGTTCATTTAAATTTTTTTTTTAATTGTAAAAGTACTGGAATGATGCATTCCAGTTTTTTGTTCTTGCATTAAAAAAATTTGGAATGCATCAGTAGTGTCTTTTACAATTTCAAAAATGTAGGTGAACAATGATTCAAAATTTAGAACTGCAGCACTTTGTTCATCAATGAAAGGAAAATAAACTACGTTAGTGGTAGGCAGTGTTATTGATATTGAGTGCTACTCGTCTTGAAATTTATCATTTAATGAAAAAAAAACCATTCGTGCAATTTTTCGACATTTTTCTGAACGCGATTTTTATGTACGTTTGTCCACGGACGGTTTTTATTGTTGAATATCTTCTGACCAAGAGCCATGAAATACAGTACAGTATTTTCACGTTGAAAGTTGCGTGGAAGTCACACTTTAATTCCCAATTTTTTCGCTTTTCGAACACGGTCATGGCACCGATCAAAAGTCGCAGGCCACGGTACTCGGAATTTTTGGGTGTTACGCTTGAGTGTACGATCGTAGAAGAACCGTTTATTATGGATTGAGGGGGCAGGGTTTATTACCGCGATCCGTTCGCATGACCTCGTAAAACTATTTGAAGGATGACTGCCTTGACGTACTGTTCGTTTTATAGACTCTTCAACTTGACCTCCTGTATGCACTTATGCCTCAACCGAATGTACAGTACGTATAAATGTAGCTAATTTTCCCCTTTGCGCTCTCACCAACAAAACACATACTGTACCTTCATCCAGTTGACAAATTTCCGAGACAATCGGATGATTGCAGAAGTGTCGGTGGTCGAACGAAGTTTTGGCAACAATTTCAAAAAGTCGATTTTCAACCCAGGCGTTGTTTAATAATTTCAGATTTGAGTTTTGAGCTTTTCATACAAGGCTACGCAAGGAAAAAGCAATTTGAAGCAAAATGGATTAACAGTAGATTGTTTATGGATATTTTCAGGACTGTTTTACGGTATACGGTAGAATTTTAGGAATATCTTTTGGCCAAATCAAAATTTAATTTTATTGTACGGTACATTATATGCATTTTGTGATGTGTAGACATTTTTCTTGTGATTGATTGGCAAAAATTGAAAACTATAATCCCGAAAAATTAATATTTAAAAATTGTTATTATTCAACAATTATTGTGGTGTTTCAGACAATTTTGACGAAATAAAATACTAGGAGTCTTGCCGCCGTTTTCCAACGAGAAACCACAGAAAGTAAGAAGCTACACCCGGGCTTATTGAGCATGATTATAAATAACTTCAAATTTATTCGTTGTGTAGCGTTTCTTCCTGGACTCCATTTTCGTACTTTTAAAATTCAAATAAATTATTTTTTCCAGGTCGAGCTTCTCGTCAGACATAACTGACGCAACAGCTCGCCCAGGCAACGCTCGTTACCACAATCACCACGGGAAGCGAATGCATCAATATTCCACGGCTGCGCAGTTTTTCAACGACCGACACCGAAGCAAGAGCGTGTCGGCCAACGACGACAACGACCCGTCGGGTCTGGACTCGGGCGAGGTTTTGTTCTTGCGAGAAACGCACTTGGGTCGCCTCGACGGCGGCAGCGGCGGTGGTCAACCGGTGTCGAGCCCTGGTGGTGGTGTCGACGGCGGCCACGTGAGACACGTGTCGAGTCCGGAGTCCATGAAAGCACGTAGCATGGTGAATCTGGGCGACGACGTCGACGACGATGACGAGGATGGACCCCGTTTGCAGCGATTGTCGCCGAGTCGAGGCGGTGAAGATTCCTCGCGGGCTAAATCCATGGAGTTCCTTCTGGACGACGAGAATAAGCAGAAAATTAAGGTGAGTGTCATTTTCCCTTTCCGTCACGTTTCCGAATGCCGTATCGCGCATTATCAAGCGGCCAGGTTGAAGTCTCGATTTTTACTTGATTTGTTTCGGGTTTCTGCGGAATTTTAGGAAAATACGGGTATCGAGGGATCTGAAAAAAATATTTTAAAATCTGCGACGTTAAGACTTGAAAATTCCCATGTACTTTACGTATTTTATTCGTTTCCATGTGACTTAGACTCGTCCAAGATTCTCAAAAGAGCAATTTGTTGCTTAACGTCCAGTGAAACAGTTGAGAAAAATGTGAGATATGATAATTTGATGAAAATCCATCAGATCATCGTCATTTTTGACACCCTCCCAAGATTGAAGCATTTTAAATTGCATCTTGAATTTTAATTGAGGAATACCATTTTTTACTTCAATACCACGACTGTTCAATATTGAAGAAAGCATTACCAAAGATGTCAATATCAAGATTCCAGTCTTACCACATGTGCTCCAATTTTAGCGAATGAACTCATCTCGAACAAGATCTTCAAAGCGAGAATTTTGGACTGAAAATTGTCGAAGCATTTTACCTGTAGTACGGTATATAGATTTAGCATGAGATTAAAATTTTGTTAAGAGTTTTGAAATTATTCTCGAACAAGTTCAGTTGTGTATCATTCTCATTTGTTCGAGTATCACGTCAGGATGGTCGATTCGTACTGTTTTTTTCCGTCACATTTTACAATAAATTTAAAAAGTTCAATTTGTTTTCAATGAGTTTTACTGCGTTTTCGTTCAACTGTACTACATGCTTACTTCGTCCAGATTAAATTGGGATGAATAGCAGTTTTAAAATAGCGTGTGTAGGTTCAATATTTGAAGTCGTTTTTCTTTGAAATTCTTGGTAACTGGTAACGACTTCATTTTAGTAAAAGGAAAAACATGAAGAGGTGCGTGTGGGAATTACACTTGGTTAAGGATAATTTGTTTTCGAATTCTGAGCGAAAGGACATTTTGTATCGATCTTCGGAAAAATAAGTGCGAGGTGTTGCGGTCAGTAGGTATTCGCATTCTTTATTGGACCGCTTCACCAGCGTCCCGAATCGGCTGCCAAAATTGTCCCATTAAAACCCCCGGAGTAGGATAATGGGATATTGAAGCATGTCGATGTTATTTATGCCGTAAAAATAGCCCCGAAATATTTCTTCGAACCGAAACCGCGTCTGAGGCGATAAGTGTCATGGTTTCCGCGTCATAGACTTGAAAGGTTTTTGAAGTTCGAAAGATTACTGCCATGCAATAATTTTGAAGATATATTGTACCGAAGTCTTTTTTTTCGTACCAAATCTTCAAGGAATTTCCAATCACTTGTTTTTTTTTTCGTAATTGACGTTGGACGAGTTTAAGCGTTCAATTCTGAGATTATAGACCTTCTATCTGGATCACTAATAAGCACGTGCAAATGGAGGTAAATTTCGAACTCCCTGCTTTCTCGACGCAATTCTGAGCAGTTTTTATGTGCAGCCCGGAAATGGATTCTCGAGACCCCAAAACCGCCCAAAATCTGCACAAAACTCACGTTTGAACCTACTCAATGACTCCCACTTTCGCCGAATCGGACATGCGAAAATGCGTACGTGAGCGTGTCGAACAGTGCACCGGAAAGATTACAGAACCCATTTCCCACGACGACGAAATTTATTTTCCCTTTCAACCCAGTGGGGGAGAGATGAAAATTGTTCGTCATGCTTTCGAGGTTTTGGCGATGGAACGATTTACGCCCATTCTACGCGTTCTCTTGCTCCGTATAATTTTCTAGAATTTTTAAATTTCCATAAAATGGATCAAAACCTGCCCTTTTCCAACTGTTATCAAAAAACCATTGCTTTATTCGACTCCTCGTAGATTTGAAGGGTTTTTTTCTCAGGGCGTGATTTTTAAAATTTATAAAAGTATTTTTAAAATTGTCCAAAATTCAAAGGGGCGGGTATGATTTTTCAGATGATTTGGCTTTGTAGTAGATTTCTGCCTCGAAAAAGTCACGGATGATCACCATATTTTGTAGAAGTATTCGGCGTCCTCGAATCTTCCGTGTGCTTTTTGTCTTGTTTACTTTGGGTGTTGATCCGATTGTGGAGCGAGGGGAAACATATCCGTCATGCTTCAAACGACATTCCGGGGTCATGCGTGTGATGAAATTTTGTTATCTGTTTCGTATGAAAAGCATTATTTTAGTTGCTCAGCCAGAACTTGTTTCATAATTATTCGCTGGTCACGCCTCGGTCGTTGTTTTTCGTTCATCCTAGCGTACTGGCCCAGATTCTCGATGTCAGGTTTAATTTTAGTATTTTGTCAGTACTGTACTCCATGTTGTAGCCGATTACAGTACTTATTTTTAGCCGTCTATCCAGCTTGAAACGTCATCAGTGACAGTATGGGCCTTGAATTTTACCCGTATTTTTGTTACGTTTCGCTTTCAGAGAAGTAATTTTTGAATGGCAGGCCTTGAATTCCCGATCAACTTGTAATCCTTTTTTGGACGCTTTAAATGCATCGATTCTGCTTAAATTTATTTTGAATTCCGATTCGAAGTCTTTGGAAGGACGTTGATGATACCGAGCTTCCTGTTCGAACTGAGTTTGACACTGTATTGACGTGATTTGCTGATTTTCAAGTAAAAATAAAAATGAAACATCTGTACTGTAGTCAAGAAGGCATCGTACAGCATGAAAAGTAACTTTTTTCCTGACTTAACATTTTTCCTTTAATAATTGGAGGCTTTTCTCAGGTAAGCGTAGCGTAAGTTTGACAACTTTTTTTTAATGCCACCACATCACAGTTCAGATGCTTTTCGGACATCTCCCAATTTTTACACGAAGGAAAAATGTAAACTGACAGGTTAAAAAAAGTCAGAGAAGGCGGACGCATTACGGTTCAACCCGAATACGAAAAAAACTGTAAATTGTATTTGTGTGTAGAATCTCGTAGCCCCGTCAAACAAGGCACTTCAGATACTAACGAAGAAATAAAAAAAGGGACTGACAATATAAACGTCAACTTGGCGGCTGGGAGAGCACAAAGAAAACCGCTATAGAAAAAGCTGTGTAGTCAATAGGTCTGGTCTTTTTTCTTGTTATTGCGCATTTCAGGCCCTAGTCCTCGATCTTCGTCACCTTTTTGTCAGCGTAGTTTCGTTACACTCGTCACATGGCATTGCAAACAATCGCGCCGCGGTTCATTCGTGCGTATCTTGACTTCGGTTGACGTGATAACAATTTTTCCGGCGACTGGCGGAAATTTTCATTGCAAAAAGAAAAACGAAAGAAAGGAAGAAGCGGAAATGATGACAAAAGCTTTCGTTCATCCCCGTTGTATTCTGGCTACAACAGAAGAAAGCCCCGCTTTTTAGATCTGGGTCGGAAAAAAATGGAACGCCGGAAGTCCTGGGGGACGTGGATCGAAGGCTGTCTGGTTTGTTGATCTTCAGCTTGTTTTAAATCAAGCCTTGTACTCGCTCTATTTCCATGAAGGGAACCCTTGGATTGCAAATTTAGCATTTTTATAATTGCGAAGGTTCACTTCGTCATTAGTATTTTTTTAAATT